CTCTGAGTGCATATCCACACCGGGCGACCTTGAAAAATATGCCCGGCCACGGTAGGATTCGAACCTACGACCTTTGGAATACTAGCCCAATGCTCTTCCAACTGAGCTACGCAGTCGGGACGGTTCGAGTAAGTGATATTTCGGAACAGTATCTGGTTCCTTCAATACCAATATCTTCTAGTAATATGAATTTTTTTTTTTCTCTGTGTTGGTGTTGTGTACTCAGGTGAATAATATGTTTGCCATGTTACTCTGAGTGCATATCCACACCGGGCGAGCTTGAAAATATGCCCGGCCACGGTGGGATTCGAACCTACGACCTTTGGAATACTAGCCCAATGCTCTTCCAACTACGCTACGCGGTGAGGACGGTTCGAGTAAGTGATATTTCGGAACAGTATCTAGTTCCTTCAATACCAATATGTTCTATTAATATGAATTTTTTTTTCTCTGTGTTGGTGTTGTGTACTCAGGTGAATAATATGTTTGCGATGTTACTCTGAGTGCATATCCACACCGGGCGAGCTTGAAAAATATGCCCGGCCACGGTGGGATTCGAACCTACGACCTTTGGAATACTAGCGCAATGCTCTTCCAACTGAGCTACGCGGTCAGGACGGTTCGAGTAAGTGATATTTCGGAACAGTATCTGGTTCCTTCAATACCAATGTGTTCTAGTAATATGAAGTTTTCTGTGTTGGTGTTGTGTACTCAGGTGAATAATATGTTTGCGATGTTACTCTGAGTGCATATCCACACCGGGCGAGCTTGAAAAGTATGCCCGGCCACGGTGGGATTCGAACCTACGACCTCTGGAATACTAGCCCAATGCTCTTCCAACTGAGCTACGCGGTCAGGACGGTTCGAGTAAGTGATATTTCGGCACAGTATCTAGTTCCTTCAATACCAATATGTTCTAGTAATATGATTTTTTTTTTTCTCTGTGTTGGTGTTCTGTACTCAGGTGAATAATATGTTTGCGATGTTACTCTGAGTGCATATCCACACCGGGCGAGCTTGAAAAATATGCCCGGCCACGGTGGCATTCGAACCTACGACCTTTGGAATACTAGCCCAATGCTCTTCCAACTGAGCTATGCGGTCAGGACGGTTCGAGTAAGTGATATTTCGGAACAGTATCTAGTTCCTTCAATACCAATATGTTCTAGTAATATGAATTTTTTTTTCTGTGTTGGTGTTGTGTACTCAGGTGAATAATATGTTTGCGCTGTTACTCTGAGTGCATATCCACACCTGGCGACCTTGAAAAATATGCCCGGCCACGGTAGGATTCGAACCTACGACCTTTGGAATACTAGCCCAATGCTCTTCCAACTGAGCTACGCAGTCAGGACGGTTCGAGTAAGTTATATTTCGGAACAGTATCTGGTTCCTTCAATACCAATATCTTCTAGTAATATGAATTTTTTTTTTCTCTGTGTTGGTGTTGTGTACTCAGGTGAATAATATGTTTGCCATGTTACTCTGAGTGCATATCCACACCGGGCGAGCTTGAAAATATGCCCGGCCACGGTGGGATTCGAACCTACGACCTTTGGAATGCTAGCCCAATGCTCTTCCAACTGAGCTACGCGGTGAGGACGGTTCGAGTAAGTGATATTTCGGAACAGTATCTAGTTCCTTCAATACCAATATGTTCTAGTAATATGAATTTTTTTTTTTCTGTGTTGGTGTTGTGTACTCAGGTGAATAATATGTTTGCGATGTTACTCTGAGTGCATATCCACACGGGCGACCTTGAAAAATATGCCCGGCCACGGTAGAATTCGAACCTACGACCTTTGGAATACTAGCCCAATGCTCTTCCAACTGAGCTACGCAGTCAGGACGGTTCGAGTAAGTGATATTTCGGAACAGTATCTGGTTCCTTCAATACCAATATGTTCTAGTAATATGAATTTTTTTTTTCTCTGTGTTGGTGTTGTGTACTCAGGTGAATAATATGTTTGCCATGTTACTCTGAGTGCATATCCACACAGGGCGAGCTTGAAAAATATGCCCGGCCACGGTGGGATTCGAACCTACGACCTTTGGAATACTGGCCCAATGCTCTTCCAACTGAGCTATGCGGTCAGGACGGTTTGAGTAAGTAATATTTCGGAACAGTATCTGGTTCCTTCAATACCAATATGTTCTAGTAATATGAATTTTTTTTTTTCTCTGTGTTGGTGTTGTGTACTCAGGTGAATAATATGTTTGCCATGTTACTCTGAGTGCATATCCACACCGGGCGAGCTTGAAAAATATGCCCGGCCACGGTAGGATTCGAACCTACGACCTTTGGAATACTGGCCCAATGCTCTTCCAACTGAGCTACGCGGTCAGGACGGTTTGAGTAAGTGATATTTCGGCACAGTATCTAGTTCCTTCAATACCAATATGTTCTAGTAATATGAATTTTTTTTTTCTCTGTGTTGGTGTTCTGTACTCAGGTGAATAATATGTTTGCGATGTTACTCTGAGTGCATATCCACACCGGGCGACCTTGAAAAATATGCCCGGCCACGGTGGGATTCGAACCTACGACCTTTGGAATACTAGCCCAATGCTCTTCCAACTGAGCTACGCGGTGAGGACGGTTCGAGTAAGTGATATTTCGGAAGAGTATCTAGTTCCTTCAATACCAATATGTTTTAGTAATATGAATTTTTTTTTCTCTGTGTTGGTGTTGTGTACTCAGGTGAATAATATGTTTGCGCTGTTACTCTGAGTGCATATCCACACCGGGCGACCTTGAAAAATATGCCCGGCCACGGTAGGATGCGAACCTACGACCTTTGGAATACTAGCCCAATGCTCTTCCAACTGAGCTACGCGGTCAGGACGGTTCGAGTAAGTGATATTTCGGCACAGTATCTAGTTCCGTCAATACCAATATGTTCTAGTAATATGAATTTTTTTCTTCTCTGTGTTGGTGTTCTGTACTCAGGTGAATAATATGTTTGCCATGTTATCTGAGTGCATATCCACACCGGGCGAGCTTGAAAAACATGCCCGGCCACAGCCCGATTCGAACCTACGACCTTTGGAATACTAGCCCAATGCTCTTCCAACTGAGCTACGCGGTCAGGACGGTTCGAGTAAGTGATATTTCAGAACAGAATCTAGTTCCTTCGATACCAATGTATTCTAGTAATATGAATTTTTTCCGTGTTGGTGTAGTGTACTCAGGTGAATATGATATAGTTTTCCAAAGGGCTAGTATTCCAAAGGTCGTAGGTTCGAATCCCACCGTGGGCTAGTATTCCAAAGGTCGTAGGTTCGAATCGTAGGGCGAATTTTGGGCTAGTATTCCAAAGGTCGTAGGTTCGAATCCCCACCGTGGCCGGGCGTATTTTTCAAGCTCACCCGGTGTGGATATACACTCAGAGTAACACCACAAATATCATATTCACCTGAGTACACTACACCAACACGGAAAAAATTCATATTACTAGAGTCATTATCGATTGTACAGAAATAATGATTGAAATGCCGTCATCATGCAGGAGCCAATCTGCCACTTTTTTGTCATACAAAAACCATAATACTGCGAAATGTTTGCTTGGTGTGTCCCCAAATGGGTACCCTAGTTTTGTCTTCAGTTTGTATGCTGGTCGAACCAGTGACAAAAAACTAACAAAGGACTGTGGGATCCTTAATCTGCTTGAGCCGGGTGATCAAGTTATGGCCGACCGGGGTATTGACATTGAGGATGACCTCCCCGCTAACACAACCTTAAACATCCCTCCTTTTTTAAATAGCAAAGATCAACTTAGCCTTGAAGAGGAAGTCAGAACAAGAAAGATTGCTTCTGTTAGGGTGCATGTGCAGAGAGCTATCACACAAATAAAAAATTTTAGGATTCTTCACCAAGTTGTGCCGATCACAATTGCTAAGGACCTAGACAAAATCTGGACCGTTTGTTCATACTTAACGTTGTTCTTGCCTCCTATAATTGTTGAAAAAATAAACGCAGATTAAAGACATACTGTTATTGGTTATTGTATGTGAGTGTGACAGTAACATCAAAAATACTTTAATTTTAGGGTGGTACACATTCTATAAGTTTCAAATTTTATATGTATAATAGCACATATCAGTGAAGTTTAAACTTAATTAAGCATGTTCCACCACTGTTACTCTGTTAATTACAGTGTTATTAGCATAAGTAAATTATTGTAAAAGTCAGGTTAACAACTAAGTCTAAGTAGATTTTAACTTTGGTAACACATATTCAAAATAAAAACTTGTTAACTCTGGGACCATTGTTTTCTCTCATAAAGAACTATTAAATTTTATTCTTTCAATAAACAAATCTTTCTTTGTATAAACAACAAAATCACACCACTGTAATTGTAGTGTAGCCATTGAACCCTGAATCTGATAAAAGTATGCATGGTTTCATTTGAGCATGATCTTATCTTCTGTAGCACTAAGAAAAAAACTGTGATCTTCGCAAGCTTCTTTAATAGTATTCTCTCGTTTCGAAAACGGACATTTGACTTCACCAAGCCTGAGAGAGCATGTTTGTTCATTTGAATCATTCACAAGAAAATCTGGGCTTGCACCCAGCCAAGGAAAACTTGGGTTGACAATAAAACCACATGCCGAGCACACATCAACTGAATTGCCTGCTTGCACTCCATGTATTTTCTTATAGCTTCCAGTTCATTATCTTTGCCCCATTTGCAAGGTTTTGGACAAACGTTTTTTAGACTACAATGTAGTGTTTTCATTAAGGACTTTGGATGTATATTTTTCCGTCTTTTAAGAATTGTCCCAAAATTCGAAGTTGTAATTCTTTGCCTTCTCTCCTCAAACCACCTATCACAATCTGACTGACTTCTGGTATTCCTTTCAATTTCTCTCAACTTCTCATCACTTACACTCAAACCTCCCACAAACTCCACATTGTCCCCATCAACATAGGACCAATTAACACCATGGTGTACAATATGCTCTAACACTTCTTCCCTTACTTTATTATCATTAATATTATTTTCAGTTTCCATTAGCTCTACATGTTGTTTTTTTGATGGAAGACTTTGGTGAATTTGGTCAAAATTGTATGGTTGGCAATCATTTGATTCTAGCACAAGTCTGAGATATTCAGCTTTACCTTGTTGTTCTAAATTGTGTGCAAATTTTTTTACTTCATCTTGTGTTATGTTTCTGGCAAATTGTGGTGTGGGATTAAAGTTATCTGCTTTGCTTTTTCCATCACTGCACTTTCTGCCCTTTGCATCTTTTTCATAGCATGCCTTTTCAAATGTCATATCCTCATATAAAACAAGCTTGTCAGTAGATGTGCCCTCCCATCCAGTGGCGGAAGTGACGTCAGCCGTTTTCCCGCCATAGGATGTCAACATTTTTTAGGGATAAGATTATGTATTATGTTGTCAGACGAGGAGGGATGGTTACTGCATGGTTTGGGAGCAGTGGAGTGTGTGATTGAGCGTGGAATTGTGAAGAAACAGTTTCTTGAAGCCATTCGAGTGATGAAATTGGAATATTACAGGCGTGCGAAAGAACATTATGCGAACTTGATAAAAGATCGTGAAGTAACACTTGATTTTTTGGGGGATTTGAGAGGACGTTTTTCTGGTTATGAACCCATTTTGAACTACCTAATGTATTGGAGCGAAGAACATTGTGCATAAGACACTTTTAGTAAAAAACATTTATTTATTTATAAAATTGTAAAAGATTTTTTAACAGAGATGTTTTGTAAAACTACTAATGTTTTTTGAGAACAAAGATTTTACAATTTATTGAGTTGTTCTCGTAGTTTATTTTCTAAATGTTTCTGATACGCTTTTTTATGATCCGTTTCAAGGGATTTGAATGTTTCCTTTGTCCCTTTGACATAATAGGTGTATCTTGGCGGTGAGCTGAAATGACATTGAGCATAGGATTCCAGGGGGTCAGTTTGTGGATTCCATAAGTCATGTAGAATACGTAGTAATGGTTGATTGTCTTGATATACTTGTAGTAAAGTGTAGACAAAGTTTTGATCCAGTCCTTGCAAACTCATCAAGTGCTGTGTGAAATCTTTATGATTTTCTACGTTTAGAATTTTGATAGCGGCCACAAATTCGTTCCATGTGGAGGACGTTTTGTTAGCTTGTTCTATAGCGTTGAACCCGTGCATTCCCCAGGTTTCGTGTTCATCCATCATTAGGCAATCCTGTTCGTATACTTTACAGCCACAGCAGCGTTCATTGCGTATTTTTTGAACCTCGCATGCTACGTTCTTAGCGTAGATTACTTCCAGTAAGTGAAATATTGAACCAGCCATCATCAGAGACAGTATACAACTGTTTGCCGTGCTTTTTGACAAGTTTAAGATATATACTTTTTAGACATTTGTCGCGTAACGCATTTGTTCCATGTAGCATAGCGTTTGTTCCATGACCTTGTAGCGTAGCGTAACGTTCCATGACCTTTGTCGCGTAACACCTATGATCTGACCTAGTAAGTGTGACCTTGATCTTGGAAGCCAGCGCGGGCTTTGTGCACTTTTGGCGCCAAGACGGCATCCATATATGTGTGTGACGAGACGTTTTGGGGCAGAAGCGAAGAGCGGAGGCGACGAGCGGGAAAGCAAGAGCGAAAGAAAGCAGGAGCGGAAAGAAGACAGATATGGATAGACGTGAAAGGCACAATGAGAGACATAGACGGTATCGGGCAAGGCGCAGGGAGCAGGAGGAGGAAAGGAATAGGGAGCTTTTGCGCGAGCGCATTCGCGCATTTGCGCGAGCTCTATGGGGTTATGATGGACGTAAATTTTGAAGCTGTGGCCATATTCGAAATGTTAGCGAGGTACCGCGACCATCCTGAGGCGTTGGTAGAAGAAACGATTGTCCTGCGGGAGCTGGGGTTGCTCTAGGGAAGAAAAGGGAAAAAACAGAAGAAAAAAACGGCTCTTTTAAGAGCCACCAAATCTATGAAAGAATACGAGCGGTTCGAAATTGTGTATAATTTTTTATGTAGGTGAATTATTTACAGGGGAATTTTTATGCAGGTAAATTGAATAGTTATAAGGAAATTTTTACGTGTGTAAGTGTTTGTGAGATAGTTTTTTTAGGGCGAGCTAAGTATGAATATCACAGTATTCGTTTCAATTCTTTTGTTATTTTGATGGTTCCTATAGGAACCGGTTTTTTGTTTTTTTCTTTAAGCGTCCAGCATCTTCTTCAGCCACATCGCAAATGCTTCGACCTCCACTTTGGCACAGTGTTGGTAGGTGGCGTTTTCGGTATGTTTCCCGCACGTTTCGAGCCAGACCAGCTGGTCGAAGAGCTTTTCAGCCTTGGGACAACCATAATCTTGTAAATCAAGCGCAGGAATGTTAAGGCGAGATAACAGGTCTCTTTCATATATTCCACCTTTGTACGCAATGGTTGACCTCGAGTTCTGACGTACATTTTCATACAGCTGAGAGATTATCTTAGGAAGATTGGAAAGAGGAAGGGCATCGACTCCAGCGGGCACACCAAAAGGTAATTTATGGATGTGAGTTTGTACGTATTTGCATACTCTTTGGTCTTTGGGCGTCAGGTCGTTCCACTGTAGACCGGTGTCAAAAAAGAAGGATTGAGCTGTAGCGTCTCCAACACTCAGAAAACCCAATTCTTTACAGAAAAAACTTTTGTTGACAAAAAACCATCCATATCTATAACTGCAGCAATATTTGTAAGTTGTTGAGACATTTTGAAATGTTGAGCACTTTTCGACCCGCTTTATATAATTTTAATAGCGTTGTCGCATAGCACATGAAATTTGTCGCATATCACATGAAATTTGTCGCATAACCTTTTTTTTTCACGTGACACATG